CAGGGACATAGGCGTAGATCCCGGCGGGGGATGGGGGATATATCCTCCCCCCACCCCAATATTTGACAAGGGGAGGGGGAATGGTCCATTGTATCACCCCCCAATATTTTGACTATGTATGGGATAAAATCTGTCTCTTATACACATCTAGATGTGTATAAGAGACAGTATATATATAATCAGTAATTCTATAGTCCAATATGAAATATCTCAGTGGCCAATCGGTAAAAAATATGTCTCGTAACAGAAGATCGTGGCTTCAAGCTTTATTTGGACATTTTTTGTTTACAGTAGTCACTATAAATAAAAAGGCTGGAGTAGAGATATGATGATCTTGTAGACTAGATGGTTTAATAACACAACGGTGCTTAGTATTTGGAGTGGAGTTAAATATTTTGGTGGTTATAAGATGCTTGCTTTTTAATCCCATGGACACAGAGCACAGACGGATTCGTCACCTACCGTCGACTGAAGCAGTTTGAGTTCTGTATGCCTGATAATATTATTTTCCTTCAATTTGGACGTGAATAATAATAATAATAATAATAATGACCTATTGGAGTTCTCTTTTAAAACAGTGCGTCCACAAATCACGAAAAACACAAATAATGTAAGTCTACTAGCAAGTAAAAAAAGGTAAGGTAAAATAAGTCAATATCGGAAGTTTCATAAATAGAAGACTGAAATAAAACATTTATATAATCCAAAGAGAATTTAACATGTTTTCTTCAGGTAATAAATTGGGAATGGTAAAACAGTGCAGTGAATTTAAAATTGCTAAAACGTTATATAAAACAAGTAAAACAACAGTGAAATTAACGTTAACAAAAATTTAAAAACCGTAAAATAACCTATAAAATATTAAGATTCCCTTGGATCAATCAAAATTATTTAAAGTATGACTTAAGAGGAACTATCACTACTTATGAAGAATCAGATAGTCAGGTTTATACTTTTTTATATTTTGTTAATTTCTTACGATGTAATTGGACGCATCGCAACTTGTTTGCGTGTGCTAAATCTATCAATCAGCCATTTTACCAGGAAAATAAACTTGAGTGACGAGTTTCACAAAAGTTCAATTAAATTTATTTAGGCATCGATGCATATTAGATGTTTATTACCAATGCGTTTGCTTAATGTAGGTATCTATATAGTAGTTTACACATTAAAGTTGGAAATACACAGATAATTTTAAAATTGATGGGAAAATTAATGTCTGATTCAGTTTTTCTAACTTGTTGTTGAAGTTTTTCCATTCTGCAGTCCTGTTTACAAACATCATTGTTGTTGTGTAAATTATGAATGATAGACCCAAACGATCGACAATGCAAGAAACCAAAAGCAACACGAATTTAAATGCAATAAACCAAGATTTGATTAAAGAAAAGTCAGACATACCCCTTCTGGCTTCCGACCCGTTGCCACCCTGGCCCGTTGCCACATGGCCTTTTGCCACATGGCCTTTTGCCACCCGGCCTTATGCCACCCGGCCTTCTGCCACTCTAGGTCCGTTGCCAACCGGCCTTTTACCTCCCGACCTTTTGCCACCCTAGGCCCATTGCCACCAGGCCCGTTGCCACCCGGCCATTTGCCACCCGGCCTTTTGCCACCCGGTCTGATGCCACCCGGCCTTTTGCCAACCGGCACTTTTGCCACCTTAGGCCCGTTGCAATCGGCCTTTAGCCACCCGACATTTTGCCACCCGGCCTTTTGCCACTCTAGGCCCGTTGCCACCCGGCCTTTTGCCACCTAGGCCCGTTGCCACCCGGCCTTTTGCCACCCGGCCCGTTGCACACCATAAGCCCTTTGCCACCCGGAACGTTGCCACCCGGTCCGTTGCCACCGTAGGCCCGTTGACACCCGGCCTTTTGCCACACGGCCCGTTGCCACCCATAGTTGTATAGTAGGCCTATGCATTGTATTCGCAGAAATTTTACTCTCAGCATTTTTGCCAAACTATGTGTACTGAATGACAAATGAATCATGATTGTTTGGCAGGTTGTAAACAAGGACAATTCGTTGCGGTTAACCATCATGAAAGGCACACGTGTGAAGTAGCTTCCTGATTAGCGTTCTATCTTTATTTGTATGTATTCAGACGTACATATGTATATGTATATATGTATATGTTTTCTGAGTATGTACTGTTTTTAGTTAGTGTGTATGTATGTGTGTATGTATGTTTTTTACATTTTTTGTGAAGGCAGAACATCATGAATTAAAATTCTTTTAGTGTTATTAATTGAACAGATTTTTAAAAAATTTGATTTAATCGACCTAATTGCCTTTGAGTGTGGAAATATTAATGAACATAAATATAGTGGCAATGATGAAAATAGCGATGAAAAGCTATTATTATTAACATGTTGAATATGTTAATGCTGCTACCGCTATAAGAAATGGGCCTATGCCCATACGTACCTTTCACAATTTGTTGTTTTTAAGATATTAAGCCAAATATATGATCATATACCGGTATAGCTCTAGTATAGGCCTACCAATAGAAACAATATCGGTGGGGGAAATGTCCAACATACCAATTAAAGGCCATCACGCAAATTAGGCTTGAAGACCCTATAATCTGAACAGTAGACCTAGTCACGGTATAAACAATCAGGAGGATTAGTTTGCTCAGATCGTTAATATTACTGAGCGCAATATCCTTTGTAGTTTAACGCTAACGAGAAGAGCTTTATTCAAAGTTTATCATTGACGGTTATTTCTCACGAGAAAATATATATGCTTGTAATAAATTGTCCGCATAAAGAGAGAAATACCAAATAAATTCCATAAAGTTCATTATACACACATAATATAGACTTATGGTTATACTATAGCCTCTAAATAACTCTTATTATCATAAATGTGTTGCTATTTTAGAATAAGAATATACTTAAAAATAAAATATAAAAATAAACTAGACACTGCAGTATTTCTCTCTTTATGCAAATTTATAACAATGTTTATTTCTGCCCAATTTTCTCCTAGTGGTAAGAAGGTGCATGGACGTTTGTTTGAAATGAAATACAGTAAACTAATAATTAAATATTAAACAGGAAAGTATATATAAAAGCATATATATATATTTATATATATATGTATATCTGTCTCTTATACACATCTTTTCAAATCCAAGAAGGTTTTATCACAATTTTAGGAGGTCATTAATGTACTGTGGAGATGAATAATAAAGAGACTTCTACACGAAAAGAAGAATTTTAAAGTGTATACGTTGCTCAACAGGTAGCCAATAAAGACGAAGAATTTTAAATTGTTAACGACAAAGATATCAAAGACAAAGAATAACACTAAAATTTATCTTACCCGTTTTCGGTGAGTTGGGGTTGCCTCCATTGTGATAGCAAGGATCAGGAAAAGTAAGCACCAAACAACCTTCATCGTGAGTGTTTTATTTTGGAACTCGTTTGAACCACTTTCTAGCTCCCTTTTATAGCTTCAGGTTTCTCAAAATAGCACCATTCGTGCTGAATTTTTTTGCTAACTTCATCATATTGTTACAATGTCAATAATTAAATGTAACCTAATTATTACTTATATGATATTGTTTAAACTAGTTTATACTATTTCAGTATTAATTAAAGTAAAACCGAGGAGTCAAATAATCGTTTATTAGGTTAGAACTTAATTAAAATATAAGTATTTATAGGGGATACGACAAAATAGTAATAACTTGATAGCACGTGCATTATATTGACAATGAATACAACCTAGTAGTGAGCGAGTCATTTATTTGTTTAAAACTTAATTAAAATACAGGTATATTAATTTAATTTGAAAATGAAGAAATAGATATCTATAGAAGATACGACAATTACTTGATAGCTCGTGCATTATGTTGACAAGTTAAAGCAAGTTCTTGTTTTATTCTTGAAATGCTAATTCAACTAGTACATTAGTTGATGCCTTGACCACTTACTATTTCCATCAAATTGCCTTGTTTACGAAAAATGGAATGGCCAAAGCTAATGAAACATCACATGAAGTCTATTCTGTAATTAACGAGTCTATTTCTTTTGAAATGGACCTTTCCGCTAAGCCCCGCCCCTTGGATATTGTTGCTAAGGTCCCATTAGACGGCAGTGTTAAAACATACACAAACACGTACGTCTGTGGGTCAACACGCGGATATTTCTGGCCCTGTTCTGATTGGTCATTTGTTAAATTTGATTGACATTCTGGAAAGGTCCATTAAGGCTATATTCACACACGGCAGCTAACCGGTTAGCAGGATCTGAATCTTGCTAACGCTTAGCTGCCGTGCCGTTCATATGAGACAATCCCCGATCCAAATACCAAGACGATGATCGAATCACTGGCCAATAGGAAACTGGAAAATTGGAGACGCGTACGTGTACGTGTGATTGGTTGATGTTAGAAACGCGCTCAACTTGCTAACCGATAGCGCTCGCTAACCGTTAGCGTATCCGGATGCTGGTAACGGTTAGCGCTAACCGATCGGGCGTTCACACACAGGTGCTAACTGTTGACGCTAACGGTTAGCTCCCGATCCAGATAATAGGGCTCTCGTGTGAACCTGACCTAAAGGAAATAGATTCAGTAAGGAAAAGACTAAAAGCCCTGTCTACACTACCAAGGTTAATATAACAAAGGCCTGCACAAGTTTTAGGGTTATAAAAAAATAAGTAGACTTTTTTCCTACACCTTATCGTCGTCATCCTCTTCATCAATCATCGTCCCTGTGTGTACAAGACATTTTTTTCAGCGGCAATACCTGTCAAACAAACTTCCAACCAATGCTATGAAAATTATGTTGAACAAGGCTAATTCAAACATACAGCTCTCGAATAAGCACTGCACCAAACCTGATTTTTTAAAATTTTTATTTATTTATTTACCGTATTTATTTATTTTTTTTATCTAAGCACCGCTCTCGAATACTGTAAGCACTGCAGCGCTTAATTGAGAGTATTCAGTGGCGGATTCAAGGTTGGCCCAGTCGGCTCGGCTCCCCCGCCCCTCTCCCACTCTAAATCTTTCTAAATTATTTTTAAAAAATTAAAGAAAAAAATTTACATTCAAATTTTAAGTCATTTTGATCAACATTTAAAAACTCATAAAATGGTATTATTTAGAAGATTAGTCTTGGAGTTGGCTCTGTTTTTAGCCAACTAGATGCAGTATCAGGATCATAAAAAGCAGAAAAAGTTTCATGATCCTGGTAAGATCAAAGGAAAGCTACCGTACTAGGTGAAAATTGGCCAATTTTCGCAAGAAAATGTAAAGGGTATATAAAAATATGTTGAAGGTTAATTCAAACATAATCGGTATTTTTATGATCCTTAGGTACTATAATGTAAAAGTATGTTTTACAGAGGTGCATGTGCGACTATAGACAAAATAAGAGACATGAGACTCGAAAAAAATTTCAGTTTTGGGTGTCACATCCATGTTTATTTCGAGCAATATTTCTACTTCCATTTCACAATAAACATTATTACATTACATTATAATAACAATAGTAATAATACTTATATTATCGTTCGGAGTACCAATCGTAAAAATATTTATAGTAATAATAATAATTAACAATAATAATATTAATAATAATACATACATACCGGTATTATACCTCCATGATTTTACTATTATCATTTAGGTGCTGTATTTCTTTCCAAAAATTGTTTTTTACAATACTTTTATCTGCGACACTTAAAGTTTATATCACGCTTCAGTTCTGCATTGAGTTTATTTAAAAAAAATGAACCACTGTAATGATTACGAAATCAGACTTTCAACATTGTACTAAAAATAGTACCGCCAAAATACATACTTATATTATTAATTCCTATTAAATAGTAAATAGTAGCGACAATGGGAAGATTGAGATAGATAATTACATTTTGGAATGTAAACATAGGCTTATTTGTACGTAAGTGGATGAATCTTGTATACGCCGACGTACCGACTAAAATGCAATATGCATGGAAATACAGACAAATATTGAAATAAGTATGTTATTAATATTAAGGTACATCTACCTTGAAATTTAAAACCGTTAAAGAAGAGTATACACCTAATGATGCAAAAGTTAATTAAAAAATGTCTAGTTCTATTTATTAATGTAATGATATCTTCGTTCGTTCCTGTTGCATTTGCTAACATTACATAAATCACATACAGACGTACATAATATACATGTTATGTATGCTTTAACATGTTATATGTGTGTATATATAACCTTTATATATACATGTAAGTCATCTTTTTATATACTATTTAATGTAAATTAGATATTCATGCTTAGTGGTTGACCTTTCCTATATTTCTGTTTTATCTTTACTGTACTCTTCTTGTGATACTGTTCTCTTAGGAAAACAGCTAAAATCCAATTATATTTAAAGAAATAGTGTTATCGTCTCTCTGTATATATGTATATATAATTATACGCGTAGAATGTTTGTACCTTCGATTTTACAAGGTTTATCAATGGAAAAATATAGCAGGAGTTTTGGCTATAATAGTATACACAAACAACAGCTAAGGAAAGGCGATCTACGCTCTTAATTTTCCCAAGACAATTCAACAAAAGGACGCATTAATCGGTGGTTACAAAGGCCTAATGAATTTTTGCATTAACGTTAGACTGAATTTATATTCGTTATTTCAACACAATTTTTACCGATGAGGTGGTGTCCGGTGGTTCATGAGACTCACTTCGCAGAAAAAATAAATAAAATTTCTGTATCTACTCAAATGTTCGTTTTGTGCACCTTAGACCAACATTGTCAAAATGACAGTTTAATGTTATATAAGCACATGAATTTTTATAAAAATCGTAAATTTTCATTTGCTATATATTTTATTTTGTTGGTCAATTTTTACGAATCAAATTGTAGTTTATAGAAGCACTTAACAAGCTCGGGGTCAAAAGAACTCAGATGTAACAGACATTGCTAAGTAGGGCCTATCCAAAATTAATAAAATAGTAACTAACACCATAAAACTTCTAAACCTTGTTATTAAAAACATTGAGAATAATAATCATACTTAATTCATTGTAATAAAGACTATAATTAATATTATCATTATGATTAATATAATTTCAAATGATAATTTTAAGGACAGTCACATGTAGCATCTCTGTGTAAATAGTTACGACGCGTTTTTTTTTTTACTTACAAACAGTAAGTGTATATTGAGCGCCTAATGAATTGACTCTCTTAGGCCTGAAAAGAAAACAAACAAAAATAATAATTAATAATAATAAATACTGTATTACGATGAAAAATGAACGCAATAATAATAATAATAATAATATTATTATTATTATTATTATTATTATTATTATTACAATAATAATAATAATAATTATTATTATATTTATTTTTTTCACATCCAACAGAAACTACACTTGCCACTATAATGATACTAATGTTGAACACAATAATTATATGACCCATCCAACTATAATTATAAGAAAAATTTTGTTTTTGTATTATTATTTAAGCATCTAAAGTTTTAAAACTGATTTCTATTATATTTATTAGTTTATGTCCGTTTACTTGCCTTGACCTTCGACATTATACATTTTCAGTCGGTGGGGGAGGGAAGACACCACTAGTCAGAGAGAAACAAATCTAGGTAATTTTTACAGAATGTGAGAATATCAGATCGCTAAATAAAGTCTTGTAAATCCATCTGCCAGCCGGCTGAAGGCTTCTTGGCAATTTCTGCTCCCCCCCCCCCCAATTTCTGCCCCCCCCCCCCCCCACTTAAATATGTTCTCATCAGGAAAATCGTCTCTCCCGTTGAAAATATCTTCCCCTCACCCACCCTCTCGGGAACAACAGAAGTCGGGTAACTCCTGACGCCACCATTTTACATGTCTAATTCGATTTAAACTTACCGTTATTACGTTGTAGGTATACTTCATGTCGAACCCTCTGCTGAACACGTCATAAAGTAATCCATTATCAGTGTGGAAAATAACTTCGATAGGACCGTTGAAAAAGGTAAGCGTCTGTGATCTGTCATTACCACAAATTTCTTTTCTGAAAAATGCAAAGACACAGTAGATAAATGAAAGATCTAGTTTTATTTCTGGCTGTCTACGTTTTACCTGTTGCTTATCAAAATTGTATCTTTTCAAGGAACCTTTCGTTGAAGGACTATCCTTAATAATATTATAGCATCTTGTTCCTTTTCGAGTACTGTTATTACTATTTATCTATTTGTTACATATCTTATATATATATATATATATATATATATATATATATATGTTTCAATATAATATTTTTGTACACATATTTTTCGTTCTGTATGCATATATATTTATATAAAGTAAATTATATATATATATATATAATATGTATATATATACATAGACATATATATATATATATATATTAATTAAGGTGCTACATGGTAAGCTAATTTATAATAATAATAATAAAAATAATAATATAAATAAATAATATCTATATAAATGGAATCTAATGAAGTCTAATTTTGGCCACAATTTATTATTAGCAACAAAAACATTCAGTCA